CCTCTATATGAACCAGTCTCCGTGTAGTCCTGATCCTCTATATGAACAGTCTCCATGTAGTCCTGATCCTCTATCAGACCTCCATCAGTACAGAGACCATCAGAGAGAAGATGGTCTGTTTCTATAGAGTTATTCTTAATGCTCGTCATCGGAGCCACCGGGTCGGATTCTGGTGAAACCAGATGAACTCATGCAGGTTCACCAGAACCTCCTTCAGCTCAGACTCCAGCAGGAGTTACTTTCCACCGCTGGTTCATGTCGTGATGAATGAAGGTGATTTGCATCAGTCCAGAGAGTTTTAAAATCCACCTGAAATGACGAGTCCTCCAGTTGAATGCGTGTGTGTTGCTGCCCGTGCTTACCGTGCATCTGACGTGAGACGTCCCTTACTTGTTAGTCGTCGCCCTCCATCACCCGTGCATGGCCTCAGTGTGCAGTGACTCAAACCCAGTTTACGCTGGAATAAACCACTAAAGTTGTGTTTCCTCTTCTCTCATACGCCTCCTCACAAAGGCGGTTAAAAGCATGGTGGGAATGGTAAGTGTTTCAGAGACAGTGTGGCACCGGTCAAAGTGTTTGAAAAGATGTGGTTGCTACAACCAAAGAAAGAGACAAACTCACTGTAGCATCTCATAATAACAGTGATGATGTGTGCGTTCCCCTCCGAAGCTTCACCAGGTGCTGGTTCAGTTGCAGTCGGGCGACAAAGACCAGGACTTTTCTCTGGCTCCCATTCAAGTGTCCATAAGCGTGCAGCTCTGGAGGCTTCCGGGCTGCCACGAGTTCCTGGCGGCGCTCGGTGAGTCCTCGACAGATTAAACCGAGTTTCACTCTTATTTTGAAAGGGAAACTTAGTGAGTAGGTAACAATACATTTGTGGTGATGAGTATTATGAATGAAAGCATATTGCTGCTTGGGATGAGAATATATATATATTTATGTATTTATATTTCCGTCTCAACAGTAGAGTTAGAGGTGTGAATTAGCATAAAATGGAAGGTGCACTACTTTGTAAATGTACTTGGGTACATCCCGTCTCTCTCAGGCTTCGATCTCTGTGAGGTGGGTCAGGAGGAGGTCCTGCTGAAGACCGGGAAGCAGGCCAGCAGGCGCATCATGCACTTCGCCCTCCAGTCTCTTCTGGCGCTCTTTGGTGAGAATAATGCAGAACTTTATGTTCCTGTTTTTTAAAACTCTCCCAGACATTCTCCTAAATTCACCAAAAGTTACCATTAGATAATGTCTCATTTGCATATTTAAAAATAAGATTTCAGAAAACTCTCATGGTGAGATCTATGAGTTAATATTTTGACCCTATTCACCTTTAACCCTCCTCTCAGACTCCACAGAGCTTCCCAAGCGTCTGAGCATGGACAGCTCCTCGTCCCTGGAGTCTCTGTCCTCCTCCCAGTCCGCCTCCCAGCCTCACTCCTTACCCCTCTCCTTCGGGTGCTACCCGCCTCAGCCCTCCTCCTTCTTGCCCCCCGTCTGCCCGGACAACCTCTCCTGCGACGCCATCTCCGTCTACAGCCTCAGCTCGCTCGCCTCCTCCCTCAGCTTCCTGTCGCGACCCGAGCCCGCCGGCAGCGACATCATCAGCCAGCGCTCCCACCAGCACCAGCAGGAGCCGGAGAGGCCTCGCGGCGGGGGAACGGGCCTCTACGCCTCGCACCGCCACTCGAGCGGCCTGTCGAGAGGTCGGCTGACCAATCACGGAGGAGGGGGAAGAGGAGAGGAAGAGGAGTATGAGGGGTTCTCCATTGTAAGCAGCGAGCCGCTAGGGCGAGGGAGGAGGGACTGTGACACGCTGCCTCTGCCTGCGGGACACCGACACGGCAGAGGCGGAGCCGGGAGAGGGTCGGCCGGGGGTCACGGGTACCCGGTTATGATCTCCTCCAAGGGAAGCATCAGCACGCCGACGTCTCCGATCAAAGCTCCGCCACCGCCGCTGAAAGTCCACACCAGCCCCAACCCCAAAGAAATGTAAGTCTGTTGTTATTATGAGAAAGAAAGAGACTCTGACGTTTCCTCTTGTACATGCAGCACATTTCAAGTGCTTTACTTTAATGTGCAAAACCATTACAGAGGAGACGTCGGCAATGAAAACCTTCCCATCCCTCCTACAACGCTTATTAAATATGAATGCAAAGAAGAATCACACAAGTAGAAATGAGAATCTAAGACATAAAATAGTGCAGAAGTTAAAATACAGGGTCAAATATAATATAGACAAAATATAGAATAAAATAAAGCAGGCTGACAGCAGGTTTTTTATCGTTGTTGGAACCAAAATACCAATTTTTAAGGGCAGAAAATAACTGTGACCCCTGAAATAACTCCTCATCCATCACAGCTGTGTATCTCTGGCCTCTCTGATATTTTACACACTTTATCAAGTGATGATGAAACTGTTGTGACAGATATGTGATGGTGTTTTAAGCTCTTGTTCAGAATCAGATTACACATTACACATATAAGAAATAATTAGCATAAGAGTAAAACAGAAAATATGAAATTTTAAAATAAAATACGGTAAACAAACAAATAAAAGTACGTTAAAACAAGTATATTATTACAGTGTCACGCGTATATTAAAAGAGAAAAGATGTGCAAAAGCTCCTCGTTTAACTGTACTAATATCTGTATCTTAAGTCTTTTTTATCTATAAGAACCCTAAAAATCATATTTTCCTGAAGCTGGTGAAAGAATCTGCCAGTGAAGTTACAGGAAATAACTAACTCTTCTTTTGGACCCCTGAGATACCTCCTCATGTGTCTCTTATTATCCCTCTGATATTTTACATATAAAGTGAGAATGAAACAGTTGTGACAGCTATGTCACAGCATTTAAAGCTGATTTGCAGCTCTTGTTCTTGTTTTATTTCCAGCGCTGCTCCTCAGAGCACGGGGAAAGGGAAGGCGAGCAGCTCGGAGTCGGACCAGTCCAGCACGGAGACGGACAGCACGGTGAAGTCCCAGGAGGAGAGGACGGGGCCCGTGGGACAGCTGGACCCGCAGGAACTGGCCCAGAAGATCCTGGAGGAGACCCAGAGCCACATGCAAGCCGTGGAGAGCCTGCAGAGGGCCAACAGCGTCAGGGGGACGACGCCGTCAACTCCTACTACCCCGACTTTGACTCCCGCCGGAGGAGCGCGAGGCTTTCGGCCCTCGGAGAGCAGCGCGTTCAGCCGGCCGCCCAGCAGAGCCGGCCTGAAGCCGTGCTCCTCCCCTCTCTTCTCCCTCTCCACATCAACGCCTCCCCCGACTCGACCAAAGCCTCCGTCGCGCTCCTCGTCTCTGCAGAAGATCAGCAGCCCGGCTCCCTCCTCTCCCTCTTTGTCTCTCCCCGCCGTGTCCCCAGATGTGCACGTGCAGCTCAAACTGAGGTACCCCACCTCGCCGTACGCCGCCCACATCTCGCCCTCACACTCTCCGGCCGACAGCGCCCCGTCGCCGGCCCTCTCCTACTCCTCCGCGGGATCCGTCTCCGCCTCCTCCTCCAGCCCCGCAAACACCCCCGAACTCACCCGGTCCAAGCGGGACAGTAAAGTCCAGGCCGTGCATGACTTAAAGACCTTCTGGGCCAACAACGCGGGCCAGAAACACGAGCTGCCCTGCAACGCCAGCTTACTCCGAGGTGGGAGTAATAAAAAGATGAGCACGGTGCAGAAGGACGTTTTGGGTTTGCTTAGTCTCTCACCGAGACACGAGTCCGTCAGCAAAAACGCAGACGGATCGGAGAGCCACAGAGGTCCCCAAAAACTGGAGGCCAGACCTCCTCCTGCTAAAGGAGGCGTCAAGCTCCCCTCTGGGAACGGATACAAGTTCCTCTCACCTGGACATTTCTTTCCTTCCTCCAAATGTTGAGAGGAGTCTTCTGTGTCTTTCTCGGTGTTTGTACCTTGACAGACGCTGTCCATTTGTCAGCTAAATACTACCACGTTTTTTTTAAAGCAATACCTGTTGATTTAAAAAAGAAAAGTACCGTTTCGTACTGACTGATTTTACACATCGCTACTTTGTTTTGGTGAAGGGATGTTTTGAATGTGATGACTGTGCCTTCATTCTGGAGAGAGCTGGAAGGACCAGAGGACTCCTGGAGAGACTTGTTGAGGCTTTAATCTTTGTTTTCATGACTAGAGAGCATGAGTCTTCGAGTCTTCATGTCTTCGTGTCTCATGTCTCCATGATCTGTCCTCAGTCTGCTGACTGAGAACGTTTCCTGTCCACCTCACTGCTCGCTATACGTTTGTGTGAGTCGACCTGAATTTGATTTATCGTGTATTAATTATTGTTAAACGTCACGATTGTCGCCGTTTATTTTGTAAAGTAAGCCGTGTTTTCCAGTCCTTATAACACATTTTATATAAAGACAATTAAAAGACGAGAGGAAAACATTTTGATATTTTTTATGGAGATTTGATTGTCATGTGTGATTGTCAGCATGGTGCCTCTTGCTGTTCGCCGTCAGACTGACTTTATAATGTACAATTTTGCATTGGTGCCAGACTCCTATTTAGAAATATCTGAAGACGTGGACAAATAAAAATGTTCCTTTCCTTGTTTTGTTTTCATAATCAATTCTCTTTCCACTCACGATAAACACGAAACAGAAAATCTTTGATTAGATCTTAGAAGTAGTAATATTTACCTAAATTCTAAAATTGTAACACAGTGAGTTTATGGTTACGTTTCCTTAATGATCTAAATACTTCTACTTTAACAAGATATACCTGTAGAGTAGATATTAATAGTGCTGTTGTGATACTTTAGTCAGACAATGTATGAAACTTAATGGTGCTCTTTTAATACTTTACTCATTATATTACTATTGTAAACCTCTGATATTTTCTCTGAAACTCTTCTCATTCCTTTGATGAGTGATCAGCTGGTAGAATTTTGTGATCGTTAAAAAGAATATTCTTAAATACTGAGACAATCAGGTAGAAAACACATTATTTTTAAATATAAAACAATCAGACATCACAGCTGGAACAAGATGTACAGATGAAATACATATCAGAATGACTTTAGAAATCGATACAGCAAAAACACAACAAGAGCTACGACAATGTGTGCCAGAGTCGACAACAGGAAATCAGTCCGGGATAAAGAGCTGGAAAGTCTGCCATTCAATATCAAACAGTCTGGCCATGAGTGTCTGAGAGGCAGGGGTCTCTGTAGTGGCTCGATGAGTGATCAGACGCAGGTGAGTGAAAGGTGAAGGGAGTTAGACTGATGAGGAGGGAGTGGATCTGACTGTGACGCAATGAAATATTATTTATTCTAAATATGAAGCAATAAGATGCTACAGATAAATTACATGTGTTTTAGACACTCATAAACTTTTTTACCAGTTGCTGCTTTAATCTTTGTAATGAAAGAATTCAAACATATTCAAATGTAATTTGCATAACAATGTAATTAAATAAATCATATCTCTTGAAGAGAGAGGATTACAATCAAAGTAAATAGTAAAAGTAAGTAGTAAGAACTCAGATATTTTACTTCAGTGAAAGTAGTAATACCACAGTGTATAAATACTCTGTTACAAGTAAAAGTCTTGCATTGAAAATCCTACTTGAGTAAAAGTACGAGTATTAGCATCAAAATAAAAGTGCTCTATTGTTCAGATTATCCTATTTCAGAATAATATATAATATATATATATATCTAGATTATAATTATCAATGCATTAATGTGTTCACTGTAATGTTGCAGTTGGTAAAGGTGGAGCTCATTTTGATTACTGGGAAACTTCATCAATAATAATAAATCCATTTTTACATTAATAATCTGAATCTAGTCCACAAAGTGACTCATGATGTCAAATAAATGTAAAAAAAATCTAAATGTAGAAGTGTAAAGTAGCATTAAATGGAAATATTTAAGTGACAAGTACCTCAAAATTGCAGTTAAAGTTCAGTACTTGAGTGAATGTACTTAGTTACTTTCCACCACTGTGAAAACTTCAGTTTGCATTCACATTTATGAAAATGTATTTATTGTGGCTCTTATTCTTTCTTTCATTCTGTCTTTCTCTAATAATTAATTAAATATTAAATTATATCAATGTCAGTAAATGTTGTTTAAAAGGATGTTTCAGCCAATCCTATTTTTCCTGGAGGGCGGACCGAACTTGTTGTCTGTTGTCCGTCACCAGTGCGCATGCGCAGCCCGGGGTGACGAAGATGGTGCTCATCAAGGAATAGTGAGTCTGAAGTGTTTTTAAAAAACGTCTTTTAGTACATTTTACGGTCGCGTTTTCATCCGCCCGAGTGCTTATTATTGAGGAGTAAAGACGTGCGTGTGTCGTTTAGTGGTGTCAGTCGCTTGGTTTTACCAGTATGTTGTCCGTAAAGAACCCGCGTTGAGCAGGGTGGATCAGGACGTGGATAACGGGACCTACACCGGTCTTTTTTAGGCGGTGCTAAGTGCGAGCTAGCGTTAGCATCTGAGGGGGTAATTAGCTTCTTAATGAAAATGAGTTACATAAAAACGACTTTAATGGTTGAATAAAAACACCCGATATTAGCTTAGCCAGTTAGCATCGTGCTACATCTGCAAAAGGTGCCGTGATGTTAAGCTTTCGGTCGCGTGAGCGACAGATTAAGGTTCGGATTTACCACGAATGCTAGCTAGCTGTAGTTAGGTTAGCTTTAGCAGCCGGCTAGCCGTTAGCATGACAATTTTTCCTGACAACGGTGTTTGATTTTGTAAATGCACACATCTGACACATGTTAACCACCGAGTAGGTGAATAAAACATAACTTTGTCGAAGAATTTGGCAGAAATGAGCCTTCATTGTTGGGTTATATCACGTTAGCAGTTGTACCCTTCAAGCTAGCTTGAGGTTACATGGAACTACTTTGCTGTTACTTTGTACAGTAGCTCTTATAACAGGGCGGCTGATAGACAGACAGACAGACAGACAGACAGGTAGATACTTTATTAATCCTGCAAGGGGAAATTGTTGGTACAGGTAAATAAAATAACAGAGCAAAAAATATCAAAGGCACAATATATACAATGAAATGGAATCATATTCAATTGACTGACTAAACATTAGTGCAAAGATTTAACCAAACAACAGAGTAATGGTGATATTGATTTGGCCAGAGGTGATTTATTATAAAGTGTTATTGCAGTGGAATGTTCTCCTGTATCTGGATGAGTCTGTCCCTGCAGTAGGTGATGGAGAGGATGGTCTGCAATGTTTTCTCAGCAACGCTAACTAGCTTGTACTATGTGGCTAACCTGTTTATGAGCTCCAGATAATGGTACCTGTTGTAGCCTTGAGGTGTTAAGCTAGCCCTGGTTAACCCACTCCTCTGTGTTGTGTTCAGCGGTACAGCTTTTAATTAACACAGTAAGAAAGTCCTTTAACAATTAACAAGAGAGTCATAAGCCTATACAGTAAAGAAGAAAAACCGGATCAATTACATGAAATAATAAATAAATTGAAGATGATCTTGGCCCGAGTGGTCAGTTTAAAAAAAGGTTAATTTAAGATTAGATGTAGAATATGTTGCTCAGAATCTGCTCTCTAATCGAGTGTCTATCTACTAACTATCTTACTCACAATATAAGAAGTAAAGCCAACAGAATGTGGAGGCCTGTGTCTTGAGCTCACGAAGAGAAAAGCACATTCAACACTAGTGCTGCCAATTAGTTTTCTCAGAGCACCGATATAGAAGTGAACAATCGAATGCGTCTGACAGAGAGCTCTGTGGTGTTATTAGTGATGCCTCAGTGGGATTGATGGTGTTCTAATGTATGGGGGGAACTCCAGGATCTCTCCCACAGTTTCCCCCCATACATGAGAACACTACAGTAGAAATACCAATTTGGAGAAGTTTGTTGTTTACTAACAGATGTTGATTCAACTTAATGGTCATTTTTTGGTCTTATTCAGCGTTTGAGGGTGCACATCTGCAAATCAATCTTGATCACTTATAAATTAATAGTTTCAGTTTTAACAAGAGCATTTTTCAGAAGATGGCAGCATCTGCTTGTTTCTGAGAGAGAACAAGAAGTTGTAAACTTACATAAATAAAAGATGAACAATGTTTAGTGGCTAACTTTGTTCCACAGAAGCCAAAGTTAGAAGGCTGCCAGCAGCGCAGACATTATTTCATAAACATCCATCAGTCCATCACTAATCCAGAAGTTAAAGATATTCACACTACTGTCACTTCTGGCATCAAAATGTTTGCTTGCTTGCTGATCAAAATACTTGCTGATTAATCTTCTGTTGATGGTTGAGAGAAATAAAGCAGCTGAATACTGAGACCTGTATAAAGGCTGACTCCCTGCTGTACCTGTGCTGCAGGTGTCTGTCATGTCTACAGAGGCACACAGAGGACTTAGACTGGGTCTTACATAACTTCAGGTTACCTGGACTACACCACCACTTGACCTGTGACTGTTCGACCTTTTGTCGAATAGTTCTGCCCTTTATAATCCAACAAAGCTATTTCCAGTGCAAACCCTTCCTCTGCTGCAGTGGCTCTGTCACACAGAGTGCCAGTCAGTGTTAATACAGTGTGAATATTATGGATGCAATTCCACAGATGTGTTCTGTCCCTGGCCTCAGTGATATGCATGTTTTTCCTGGCACAACACAATCAATTTCTCAACAGCAAATAATGAAGCAGATCAAGCAGGCCTTCACATTTTTATTGGCTGACTTTTGATCTCGCGTAGAAGCAAAACACAAACGCTTTTGAATAATTCTTCCGCTTTTAAGCCGGTAAAATGAGACCGATGCCTCTAAAGACAGCTACAGGAAAAAGATTTCACATTGGTTCCTTGTCTCGTGGTGAATTCAGTGATATTAACAGGTGTGTTCATGTTCTTCACAGTCTCATGCAGTGGATGCTTTTGCAACATTAGTTATTTTATCTCTGTTACTAAAGCCACCGCCCGGCCTCGTTCTTCCAGTTGAGCTTCATTGTTCACAGTTCCATGAACACCAAAACCTCAGCGTGGATGTGTCTTTTGAAAATGTAACTTGTCACAATGAGTGTGTGTGTGTGTGTGTGTGTGTGTGTGTGTGTGTGTTGTGAAGTTCTCTGTGTGGCACATCAATAAGTCCACGTTGAGGGTGAAAACGTGGTGAATGTGAGAGCTGAGAGATGCAGATGTTTGTTAGTAAAACTAAACTATTTACAACATCGATTGTCTGCAGATGATTTTCTCGGCCACGTAATTCAGCGTTTAGTCCATAAAATGTCATAAAATGCTGACGATATCCTTAACCTAACATCACGTCTGACAAACAGTGTAAACCAGGATACTTTCAGTTTGCAATGATATAAAAACACACAAAACACTGATAATAAGGACACTGAGAACAGTTAATGTCATTTTGCCAGAACAAAAGTTGCAGATTTATTTTGCGTCTATCGATGGTTTCTTCTGTAGAGTTCTTATATGAGTATGATTGGCCATATCCATAATCTTTGACATAGTTTTATATCATATTCTCCGTGTCTATCGTGATTCTCTTGACTGTAATTACATTGTGTAATAGCTTTCAACTTGTTTACATCATAGACTGCATATTGTCAGCCCCAGCGAGCTCCATCAGTCAGCTCATGTTCAGGTTAAAGGTCCTCAATCTGCCAATCTTTGCACAGGATTCCATAATTAAGCTGTAATATTTAACTATAGGCTGTTTATAATGCATCCCTGGTTATGCTGCTGTTTGAGCCTCGTCTGTTTCTATGAGATATGGATGTCATTGATTCAAAGGAGAAGGCATCACCCAAAATGAAGTAAAACCAATATGTCATTTTGACCTGAGATTAAACAGGAATATATATATATTTATATTGAATTTTCAAAGCACTGGATTGTTGCAGCATGAGTCCTTACTGTGATTATCCTGCTAACACTCTTTTTTTTAATAGTTAATGCAGATTATGTCATGGTTTTAGGAAACCCTCCTCCTATTAAGAGGAATTCTTGTTGTTTAATAACAGGCGTGTAGCTACAACCATATGCTGTTTCCACATGACATACTTTTGTGGACTAAAGCAGAGTTTAGATGTTCGGACTGGGAGACTTTCCTCTTTTAGCAGCAGAGTCGCTTCATTCTTTCCCCAAAGATGGTCAGAGTGAAGTTCATCCTCACATGCTTCATGCTTTGGCATCTTCACGAGGTCACTCAGTGCCATTCAGCCACCCAAAGATTCAGTTAATGCTCAAGCATTTGTGGTGATATTAAGATAAAGAATGACAGTTTCATTAGTCTTTGGTTGTCTGTTACACATCAAACATTTGAACACCGTCTCCAGTATTCTACCGCTCTGTTTCCACACTAATGTGTTGAACTTTGTTTGTTTCTCTCTCCACTTCCTGCCCCACCGCTCCCTTGTTTCCCTCTCTCAGCCGTGTAGTGTTGCCAGTCTCTGTGGAAGAGGTGAGTAATCGTTGCCTCCATACCCTCTTTGACATCACAAGCTATTCTGAGTTGTTTCTTCCACAAAACATATTGTGTATCACAGCTAAAGCATGATCTTTGTGTTGTATATTTTTCTCCTGAACTGCTGGTCCACTCAGGCCTTCGTCTGGGTCACGAGCCGAGACAGAATAGCCTTTGTTAGAGAGCGCTGGTGCTGGTGTGACAGGCTGGTGGTGGTGTTTGCAGAGGGAGCTGGACTGGACTGTGAGCTCAGCCTTTAAAACCACAATCTCTCTTGTCATCTTTCTCTTAAATTGCAATCGCTTCTTTTTATCGCCTCTCTGAATCAGACCAAGTGAGCCCAGACCCCAGTCTGACATCCAGTGACGTCAAACACTGGCCCTTTTTCACTGCCTTCTCTGCAAAGGGAAAATCATCGTGACTGGCAGTTAAAGCGTTTAGTTTCTCTGGGTTTTCTGTAGAATGAGTAAACCACATAACAATAATGGTGTCAGCAGTAACGTCCTAAACAACAGCGGTTAATATTCCATCTTAAGACGTAGTCCTCTGGGGCCCAATGAGGCCACAAAGATGATTCATTCAAGTCCTTTCCTTTAGACTGAAGGGAAACAACAAAGGGATGTTTTGAAGCTGTTTATCACCAGTGTGATGTGAAAATGTGGTTCAGCAATACGGTTTAAATAGTGTCCGCGTCCACACATCGAGACCCCGTCTAGACAGAGCGTCTGACGGGCTAACGTTAACTGCACAACACTAAAGCTAATCGGACTCCAAATTTGACGCTAACACGAACGTTGGCGGTTGTAGCTAGCCCCGTTCTGTGACGAACATTGAATGTTATTTGTACATATCGGCTACACTTCCATATTCACTGTATCCCAGCTGCTGGCTGATCTCAGGACAGATATGGTGCTTTAGTTGGTGGTTGAGGTGGTTGTTGGGGTGTTTGTCGCACAATATTCAGAAACTCCATGTCCCTTTGGTCCAAAAGAAAGCCCATTTGTCCGACAGTCTATTACCCCAAAACAGACTGTCGGACATTGTTCTATTAAATATACACACACTGTGCAGCAAAGAGAAGCATGTGGCTGATTATGATGCTGAATTTATGACTTCAGTTGGAACAAAAGTGTGGAAATCTGCTGAAAGACAAGGGATGATTAAGCAGCAAAAACACCAGAATTTAAAGGATCAGCATGAACCACACCTCATTAAGATCCTCAGATATCCATATGCGTGTGCGCTATATGAAACCCGTTTAAACAAAGTCTGGCCTTTTTCAGTACACTTGAACACAGTCTGGGATTTCCTGCGTAGCATCTAGTGGCTGTCTGTGGTACTGCACCCTTGAGGCACCTGCCTTAACTTCAGGAACCTGCCCAGTCTTTCACAGCACTCGTTCCTGCAGTTTAACGCTGTTTCATTCAGTCTGTCTTTTCTTTCCTCTCTTCCCTTTCCTCCCAGTATCAAGTAGGGCAGCTGTTCTCTGTTGCTGAGGCCAGCAAGAACGAGACGGGAGGAGGAGAGGGCATCGAGGTGCTGAAGAACGAGCCGTACGAGAAGGATGGGGAGAAGGGGCAGTACACACATAAAATCTACCACCTAAAGAGGCAAGTCTCTGGAATGAAGCCGTAAGGTCCTCTATGCACAGTGAAGGCGAAGCTTTAGAGCAACATGCATGCAGCAGTGATGGGGATGGAGAGAACAGGACTGAGGCAGCGTCTTTGTGACAGACATCAACCAGACTGAGAAATGTAAATTATTTATAAATAGCAGCTTCACAAAGCAGGCTTTTATGGCGTTGCTTTCACCTGTTGGCTGAGTAACCTAAGGAGGTACGACACATAAAACCTGGAGCACCGGCAACAGAAACATGAGCTGGATTTTTTGCCTCCGTCTGGACGTGTTTGTTTGGATGGAAGGAAACAGACAGCGCTTGTTGCCAGCTGTTAAGGCCGACGGTAGGAACATTTTGGCAGCAGTCTGAGGGGAGACGTTGGGTTGTTGATACTCTGCATGCCAAGATGAGCAGCCATTTTACTGAACCGGCTTCACCTCGTCGTATGTATTCCTGCATCGTGTGCTCCACGTTTACACGGAAGAAAGGGCGCTTTCTGCAAAGTAGAGTTACGCTTTCATCCCTCGGATAACGCAAGGCTTCCCTCGTGTTAGTGCATGTGAAACCGCTCACAGGCTGTGTAGAAGAACTGGATGGAGTCATTGGGATGTCAGCCAGTGGTTTGTGGACTGATGTTTTGAAGCATCAAGTTCAGGAATTCGCTGTCATCTTGGATTACGGCCGTCGCCATGTTGGTTTTTTGCAGCCAGTGAACAGGAAGTGACCATATCTGGACTGAGGAGGAGCGATGTAGAGACGCTGTGTACGTCTCTGGTAGAGACCTGTCAATCACAGTGTAGCCCCGCCCTAAAGCATCCCCTGCTTTATGGGCTGTTTGACTCTAAATGGAGTTTAATATCCCAGCTGCATACAGAAATTCTACGTAGACGCACAAGGAGAACTGATTTTCCTCTTATTTTACATTGTGTGACTGGTTCTTTGATACTTACTGCAGGAAAACAAAAAGGATAATTCGTTACACGTAGAATCATATAATTAACCAAATGTTTTAATTCAGCTCTGAAGATGCTACATTTGTACATATGTAACCAGCTCTATGGGTGTCTTATTTGAGGACCATGGACTCTATTGTCTGACTTCCTTCTTCTCTCTCTGCAGTAAAGTCCCAGGTTATGTGAAGATGATCGCACCAGAGGGAGCGCTAGTGTTTCACGAAAAGGCTTGGAACGCCTACCCGTACTGTCGCACCAGTAAGTTCATGTTGTTTCACTGCAGAGATGCTCACCGTAGCTTTAGTGCACCATGTCTGAATGTAGTACATGTTCCCATATGGAGCTTAAACAGTTTGTCCACCTGTTGTTTTAGTCGTGATGCTCATGCTCTCTTCTCTTTTCCTCTCCCCTCTCCGTCCTCTGCAGTTGTGACGGTGAGTAGTCTGAAGTCTTTTATTTCTCACTTTGGTCCCAGTGAGATTCATCTGCATGTCTCTGAAGTGTTTGGTTGTTGGAGCTCGGTGATGTAGCGACTGCTCAGCTGTCGAGCTAACCACAAACACCATCAGTCAGTCTGAGCTTCTGTCTGTCATCTCTGTAACGGGTCGTTTAAAACCCTGGAGGTTTGTTTATCATTTCATTCAGGGAATAAAAGCTCTCCACGGTTTGCTAACGGCACAACGATCAACACACAATTTCTTCAAGGGACATGTTTGACTCTTTCACGGAGCAGTGTAACTCCCACAGAGGAGGTCCTCTCTGTTCCCTTAAAAGGTCAGCAACAGCATCACAGCTTGCTTTTTGCTCAGCGGTGCAAGTCAAACCTTTACAGATGTAAATTCGTCCCCTGGGAGCAAAAATCCCCGATCACAGAATAAAACAAAATCAATTTTAATGGAATTACAGTGAATTTTAACCCGTTGTATTAAAATGGACTGTTATCATACAGTGCAGATCTGCACGATTGGAAAATCAGTGTGTGTGAGTTAAAGGTACAGATGTTCTGTTGTCAGTCCAAACCGTTCCAGCCTTATTCTACATGCTGGTTGAGTGCACAGATACTCCTGTATGTGCAGCGTGCAGCAGACTGTCGCCCATGAGTGATGTCTGCTGAGCGTCTTCACAGCCCGTACGTCGCCGCTCATCGCCTGCGAGCTAGGGGTTAAGCTGAGCTGAGCGGCGTCGCTTGTGTCCTTTCAGTATAAACGTCTGATTGGTTAATTGGATTTAGCCGAAGTACATCTCTCAGAATCCTCCATTCATGGTATGACTGAGCTGCTGCCGACGTCATTCAGTGTGACGGTAGCACCTCGTGTCATTCTTCTCTCCAGCGTGATGATATGTGTGTGTTCTCTCTCCTGCTTCTTCAGAACGAGTACATGAAGGACGACTTTATGATAAAGATCGAGACGTGGCACAAACCAGACATGGGAACAATAGAGAATGTAAGTGTGGTTGGAGATGTTTGAGAAAAGATTTTAAAAGAAAGAGAGGGAAGAACAGTCACATTTGAAGTGGCGGAAGCGGAGATGTCCTGACTCTTAGACATACTGGGTCCTACGTTTCCCACAATGCAACACGAGAGCATCTTTCATTAGATAATCCCTGCCTGATAAACAGTGCACTCCTAGTTTATAATGCAGGCTCTCTGTTATAACATGAAGCTATAAAGATATAAATGAATCTCCCTGATTTCATAGAAATCTTCACCAAAGTGTGAAATAAGGAGAAAAAGTTCCAAAACACCAGTTTTTAATATTTGAATCTCATTTGGTTTCCACTCAGCACAGATTTGAATACGTCCTCCTGGGACAAACACAGTTTCCTGAGCCGAGCTTTACCTACTTGTCCTTCTCCGTGTCAGGTCCACGACCTGGATGAGCAGACATGGAGGACCGTGGAGGTGTCTCCCATCGATATCGCCAGCAGAGATGAAGTCACCCACGGGGTGAGTTTGTCTTTAAACTCAGATGTGGTCAGACATGCAGGATGTCTCCACCCTGAGGAGGAGTTTGGTCACACAGGTTCATTACCCATCATCCATAGAGCCACACTGAAATACTTTAAACTCTGCCCGGCAACTTCATGTGAAGGTGAGGACTGGTGGTTGTTCAATACCTTTTTAGATGAGTTTATGAAAGAAAGAAAGACATGTTGGTCAAAACCTCGAAAGGTTTTTACTCGCATGTGTCTCTTACCTCCAAAGAGCTCCCAGTCCTCCCAAACAATGCGCTACACTTGTGTTTTTGTATTGTTTGACATTTCGTTGTGCATCCCTGTGTAGCGGGCTGCACGGTGATGTGGTAGTTAGCACTGTTGCCTCGCACCAAGAGGGACCCGGGTTCGATGCCGACTCTGTGTGGAGCTTTAGGTCAATGGATGATTCTAAAATTGCCCGTAAATGCAGCAGTCTGGCCTTCGCCCTGCCATCGAAGGATTGGATCAGTGAATGTCTCCAGGGCGTTCCTAGTGTCCCAGCAGCTGCTTCATTACTCGCTGTCTGTGGATCAGCTCCAGGGCGCATTATCTATTCATTCATCTTTTTATGTGTTATTATCTATGTCTGTTCGGCTTAAAGAGTTGTACAGTATTGTGGAAACGGAACCTCTGGTTCTGCCGAGTGAAGCCTCTTAAAGCTGCATTCTCTCTGGTGTCCACCAGGGGGCGACTCCTCTAGTTGTATAGAAGTCTATGAGA